CGTGCTCGCTGACGGTGCAGATGCGGAAGCGGTAGTCACCCTCGGAGGGCACGCAGTCTCCCGACACCTCCACGGCCCCCGCGTTCTCCATGCTGAAGCACTGGACCCAGTCTTCCGAGCCTGCCTTCTGCCGCTCCAGCCGGTAGACGAAGGGGGTCTCGGGAACCGGCTCGGGAGGCTTCCAGGTCAGCAAGACCATGTTCTTTCGGCTCTTGAACATCTCCGCCAACACCGGGGGTCCTGGGGGTTTGTGCTTGATGCCTGAGACAAAGGCAGGGTTTGTCCTGGGGCCCCGCTCTGGCCACCCACCACCCGCCCGCCCACCGCAGGTCCACTCTGCCAACTCAGACACTGGCCTCTGGCCTCCCCTCCAGCTCTGGCCCGCCTGCCCGGCCCTTCGGGAGCCCGACCAAAGGCTCCTGCGCCCTCACATTTGACTCTGAGAAGAGTGGTGGTGTGGGAGCTGCCCAGGCTGAAGGTGACTTCGCCGGCGTCTTCTCGAGTGACGCCCGGGAGGACCAGGGCGTGCATGTGGCCGGAGCTGCTCTGGCAGGTGGCCGGCAGGTCCTCCCCATCGCGGCTCCAGCGCCCCGAGACCCCGGCCTCCCGAGTCTCTACCAGCAGCACCGCGTTCTCGCCCTCCAGGACGTCAAGCTTGCGGGGCAGCCGCTTCAGGATGGGCCCTGGGATGCGGACAGAGCCCATTAATCAGCCCGGGGTCAGGGCGCCATCCCCTCAGCCTCAAGCCTCGGCCTCCTCCCGCTGGCCGGCCGACCTTTGACTGTCACACTGGCCACAGTGCGCACGCGGCCCCGCATCTCGCACAGGTAGACGCCGTCGTCGTCCGCCTTTAGCCTGTGGATGACGAGGCGCCTGATGGTGCCCTCCTCGATCTGCTCGTATTTGTGGCAGGGCAGCAGCCGCTGGTCCTCGCGGAACCAGGCCGTGGGGATGCGGGAGTTGGGCACTCTGCACTCCAGCACGGCAATCCCCTGCTCGTGGCCCTCCACGTCCTGCAGGGGCCTGGAAAAGCGGAGGCGGGGCTCTGTGGAGAGGAGGGAGACCAGAGAAGGCTCTGCAGAGGGCCCGACCAGGAGAGGGACTCCTCCTGGCATCGTCCACAGCCAAACCCCGCATGAGCCACGCTGTTCGCTTTTTCCCCAGAGCTGGCGGGCACTGTGGACGCACAAGGAAAAGCTTCAGAAGGGAAGTCGGATGGCCTAAATCCTCATCTGACCCCGACACTGGCCCGTCACCTTGAGCAAGGCCATGTTAGGGATCCTGGGCCTCAGTTTCCTTACCTGTGAAGTGGGAAAGAGGACAAAGGGCTTGGACCACATCAGTGATTTTCAAACTGTCACTTGGGGCCTCTCAGGGGCACGACACAGACTCTGCTGGGGTCTGAGTTGAGTTTCCTTTTTAAAGGACTTTAAGCATTTTCAAAACTGCATTTTGCAAAAAGAAAGCGTGATGCTGGACACCAGCCGGTGGGTTCACCTGGGTGAGGATGCTGGAGAAGCGCTTATGTCCTACAGCTCTGGGAAGCTCTGCCTTCCTGCTGGGCGTTTGGTATTCATAGAGTTGAGCACCCCCTGGCCAGTGTGTGGCGGCGTAGCCACGAGGTCACCGCTGTGGCATAGGTGTTACAATGCGTGCCAGGCCAGGCTCAGAGATTTGCCAATTTTTTTCTTCTGCGGGGGGAGTTGGGAAATAACCAGTAAAGGTGAAATCCTGCAAGTTGTGATGAATTCCTTGCATGGAGAGCTTTAACTTCCAGTGTGAGACAAGGGTGTTCCCCTGTTTTCTGAGCATTTACTAGACATTGTTGGCGACTCGACTTTGCAATACAAACTTCCTCTCCTTCACCTCCCTCCTCTTGCAGACCTGGGGAGAGCTGTCCAATGAAAGGATGCTCAAAAATCGCAGGGCAGTTTTTCTCCCACATTTGCTTCCGTGTGAGCTGAGAGTTTCCCAGGGGGAGGGCTGCCACCCGTCTTCACCACAGGGCTCACAGACCAGACCCTTGGACGAATGCAGCCTCCACTTAAAATGTGTGTATTCAGCTGCCCTGGCTGGCATAGCTCAGTGGATTGAGCTCGGGCTGCGAACCAAAGTGTCGCAGGTTCGATTCCCAGTCAGGGCACATGCCTGGGTTGCAGGCCATGGCCCCCAGCAACCGCACATTGATGTTTCTCTCACTCCTCTCACTCCTCTCTCTCTCTCTCTCTCTCTCTCTCTCTCTCTCTCTCTCTCTCTCCCCCCTTCCCTCTCCAAAAATAAATAAATAAAATCTTTTAAAAAAATGTGTGTATTCAATAAAAGAGCCCGCTCGTTCTCACTGATTGGCTTTCTCAGCACATGTTACAAATCTGGACCTAAACATTGACAGCCATAGATAGCCCTGGCAGGGTAGCTCAGCCGGCCAGAGGACAGTCTGAGTGTGCCGACAAGGCGGGCTCCATCTCCGGTCAGGGCACAGACAAGAGTCAACCAATGAATGTGCAAGTGGAACAAATCCATGATTCTCTCTCTCTCAAATCAAGAAATTAAAAATAAATTAAACAATTTCTAGCCATCAAATGATCCTTTTCTCTCTAATATGTTGGAGCTTTAAATGGGATTTCCATGGTGGGGGCGGGGGAGGAGTAAAATAACGGAGGTTGAAAAGCCAGTGGACTAGAAGAAAAATTCTAGGCGCCTCTCAGTTTGCACATGAAAGGGAGGTGTTTTCACCATCTGCTTCAGAATCACCTGAGTTTGCTAGTAAGTTCCCGGGTACCATGGAGACCTACTGAATTCGATCCCCTGGGGGATGGCAGGCCGTCAGGAAACAGGATTTCAATGCTTGGCGCCTCCCCTCCACCTCCGCAGGGCGGCGCGGGGCACGAAGGGGTGGTCGGAGGTAGGAGGGTCTGGGAGGGGCGCCGCCATACCTTTGACGTGCAGCTGCACGGCGCTGAGCGTCTGGCCCGCCGAGTTGCGCGCGGCGCACACGTAGAGCCCGCGGTCCTTGGCCTGGCAGTAGAGCACTTTGAGCACGAAGCCGCCGTCGCGGTCGCGGTACATGAGGCGGCGACGGTCCGGGAGCAGCGGGCGGCCCTCCCAGTGCCATTCGATCTCAGGCTCGGGCTTGCCCATCACGTAGCAGCGGAACTTGGCGTGCTTGCCCTCGTTCACCCAGAAGGTCTTGGGCGCGCACTTGAGTGGCTCCACCACGGGCTTGGGGGCCTCGTCGGAGTCCTCCGGCGGGCTCTCTGGGGGCTGGTGCACCTGGAGCAGCGCGCCGGCCTGCGCGTGGCCGTGCGCGTTGCGGGCGTGGCATACATAGACGCCCGAATCGGGCAGCCTCGCCGCCCGGATGCGCAGCGCCAGGCTCGCGCCCCCGGTCCCTTCCGCGCGTCCAGGCTCCAGCACGAAGTGACTGCTGTCCCACACTTCGTCCAGGGCCATCCCGTCCTTCTCCCAGTAGAGCGTGGGCGCGGGGAGGCCCCCCACCTGGCATGTCAGCACTACCTCTGTCCCCCGAAGCACCCATTGCGACCGGGGCCCCGTTAGGAACACCGGGGCTCCCTCCCCGGTCCCGGGCGGCAGCAGCGAGGGCTCGGTGGACTGGGGGTCGGGCTCGGGGGCCGGCGGCTCCAGCACGGTGATCGCGGCCGCCGCGTAGGCCTCCCCCGCCGCGTTGCGGGCGCGACACACATAGACCCCCGCGTCGGTGGGCAGCGCGCCAGTCAGCAGCAGGCCGTGCTCAGCACCGTCGGTGGGGAAGCTGAAGCGCTCCGAGGCCGCCAGCTGCTGCCCGCCCTTCTCCCATACGACACTGGGTGGCGGCTCCCCCAGGACCACACACTTGAGCTCGGCCTCGGCGCCACTTACCACCCGCACGGGCCGCGGGAAGCGCAGAAAGCACGGGGGGCTCCCCTGATCGCCCGCGCTCGCCTTCATCGCGGCGGCCGCAGACGACCTGCAGCGCTCGAAGGAAGGGTGGGCGGTGGACGCTTAGAGGCCCGGAGCTGCGGAGGGAACCTGGGAGGCGGGGTGCGTCTGGGGGTCCCGCGCGGGGGTTGTGGAGCTCTCCCCCGAGCCGCCCGCTCCTGCCTGCCTCCTTACCCTCGGCCCGGACCTGCAGCTCTGAGGTGGCGGCGATTCCCGGGACGGGAGCCCAGAGATCTGGGGGCAGTCCTTCCTGTTTGCCTTCACAGCGAGGGGCCCGGCAGCCTCCCCAGCCAGCGGCCTGGCTTCCTGCTCCAGAAAGCCTCTCTTCCCAGCCCCCTCCCACAGCCTGGGCCTCTTCCCCTCCTCCCTCCCACCTCCAGCCGCCAGGTCCCCAAGCACCCGCCAGGCTTGGGCCTGAGTGGCAGAGGCGCCTGCAGCTGCCAATCCCAAAAATATTCTCTGATGACACAGCTGGAGGATAAGAGCCCAGACCGGCTCCTCGAGGCTAAGTTTAGAGCAGGCGGGACCACCTGCCCCCCCCACCAGCCCCAGTTCAAGCTCCAGCCTCAGCCTGTCCTCCCGTGACTGGCCGGCAGCTGCTTGTTTGAAAGGGGCTCCAGAGGGTCTCAGGGGCTGGTGCATTGTCTCCCTGACAAATAACACTTTTAGGAGCTGGCAGAGCCCCCCTCCCAGCCTCCTGTCCTACCTGATGTCACCTCTGTGTTGGGTCTGGGATGCGAGTCACGGTGTGTGTGTGTGTGTGTGTGTGTGTGTGTGTGTGTGTATGCCAGGGGTGGGGGGAAGGGGTTGTAGGCATGGGTCAGGTCACTTGGGGTGAAAACCCTCCCCAGCACCCTCCCCAGCACCCTCCCCGCATTCCTAGCGGGAGTGGGAGATAAGGCTCAGGGCCACAGACATCTGCGTCAGAGATGAGGTCTCAATGCCATAGGCAGGGGCAGCTCAGACTGCAGGGCGGGGGAAGGCCTGGGGAAGTCTGGGGTGAGAGGGGCAGAAGAGGGCGGGTGGTGGGATGGGGAGGAGACAGAGGGGAGGCCCGGGGCAGACCCTGACAAAGGAGCACAGGGCAGGGTGTGGGCTTTCCTCTGGCGGGGACAGGTGAGCTATGTTGCCCCAGCTGCCACTGCTGCTCCTCGTGCTGGTGGCCGCACAAGGGGGCCATGGCTGCCATGGGCCGGAGCTGGACAGGGAACTTGTCCTGGCCAAGGTGAGGGCCCTGTTCCTGGATACCTTGGGGTCCCCGGCAGTGACCGGTGAAGGCGGGGACCCTGGAGTCAGGCGCCTGCCCCGAAGACATGCTGCGGGGGGCATCATGCAGAGGGGCTCTGAGGCTGAGGAGGAGGATGTCTCGCAGGCCATCCTTTTCCCAGCTCCAGGTAATGAGGGTGGGGAACAGCGACTCCGAGAAGCAGTGTGGTCCGTAGCCTGGGATCGGAAGGCAGGCAGGTCTCAGTTCGAATCCCAGACCTGCCACTCAACTGCTGGCTTTGCAACAGTGGGCCAGTTACTAAACCTCCCTGAGTCTCTGTCTCCTCGTCCACAAAATGGGCGATAATACCTGCCTCTCAGGATTCAGGGAGGTGGTGTGTCAGAGGGCACGGCTCCTTCGGAGGCATTAGGGGGATTTTTGCCTGGGAGGCCAGGGTCTCTAGAGACAGAGATTCGTGGGTATGGACCCCTTTCTGCTGCTTTTTCTCCTTTCTCTGTCTTTGCCCCACGTTCCACCTTGTTTCTTTAGCCCTAAGTAGCTGAGACTTGGGCAGACGTCAGGCATGCAGGAGAAGGATTGGCTGGGAAACTCTTCTGAGATACTCAGTTCACCATCTCTTGAGTTCCCTTCTCGCCTCCCCATGTTCCTCTAACTCAATGCGTAAGGGTCTCCTCTAGGTGGGCTTTCTGGTAGTCCGGCCCACCTTTCTTCTAGAGAGGACCCCACGCAGCACAGCGAGTAGAAGTATGGCTTTGGGATCAGGCAGAATCCTAGCCTGGCCACTTAGTGGCTACAAACTACTTTACCTTTCTCATCTTCAGTTTCTTGATCTGCAAAATGGGTCAACTGTGAGGTTTATAATGTGAGAATCCACTTTCTCAGCCAGTCCTGGTTCATGCTTGTCTAGGGTAGCCTGTGTACCTGTCAGGGTAAGGATGCCAACTGCACTTTCTTAGAAAGCACTGTCTTTTTTTTCTTAGCTATATCCTTTCTCCTCTTCCTGCTCTTCCTCTCCCTCCTTTTTGGTGTTAACTTGCCTTTATAAAGTGGACTTATTTTATTTTTTATTTTTTTCCAATAGGGATTTATGGTTACTTTTTTAAAAAAGATTTTATTTATTTATTTTTAGAGAGAGGGGAAGGGAGGAAGAAACAGAAGAGAGAAACAGCAATGTGTGGTTGCCTCTCATGTGGCCCCCACTGGGGACCTAGCCTGCAACCCAGGCATGTGCCCTGACTGGGAATCGAACCGGCGATCATTTGGTTTGCAGCCCAAGCTCAATCCACTGAGCTACACTAGCTGAGGCTGAAGTGGACTTATTTTAAAGAATTTATCCTGCAATATTTCTGACATGTAAAAAGACATAAAGAGTAATATAACAAATGCTTGTGTACACACCATTCAACTGCCCTCTTACACCATCAGATGAACAAAAATTTAAGTCTAAGTGACAGTTCCAAGGGTTGTTTTGGGAAAAGGGGCAGGGACCCTTGCACATTGCTGATGGGAATATTAATTAAATGGTAAAGTGACTGGAGAGAGAAGTTGGCAATATCTTGTGTTTTTACAATCCTTTAATGATGAAATAACAAATGCGGAGCCTCTGTCTGTTCTCCCAAGACTGCGGACCGTCCCGAGTCTGGCAGAGCATTCAGTGGCGAGCTTGGCAGGCTCCTGAATGGCAGCCCCTTCCCTCCTGTCGAGGAGGAGGGGTCCCAGGTTCTCAGTCAGGGCTGCCCTCTTCCTACCCTCTGTCCGCTGCAGGTTCCAGCTGTGAGAGCCAGCCGGCTGCCAGAGCACGTCCGGTGGCCGAGGAGGGTCTCTTCACGTATCTGTTCCGGCCGTCCCAGCACACACGCAGCCGCCAGGTGACTTCGGCCCAGTTGTGGTTCCACACAGGCCTGGATAGGCAGGGCGCAGCAGCCTCCAATAGTTCTGGGCCCCTGCTAAGCCTGCTGGCCCTGTCGTCTGGAGGTCCCATGACTGTGCCCGTGTCCTTGGGCGAGGCACCCCCTCGCTGGGCTGTGCTGCGCCTGGCCGCCTCCGCACTCCCCCTGCTGACCCACCCCATCCTCGGGCTCCTGCTGCGCTGTCCTCTCTGTTCCTTCTCAGCACGGCCTGAGACCACGCCCTTCTTGGTGGTTCACACGCGGGCCAAGCCACCAAGTGGAGGGGAAAGAGCCCGACGTTCGACTCCCCCGCTGCCTTGGCCTTGGTCTCCCGCTGCCCTGCGCCTGCTGCAGAGGCAGCCGGAGGAACCCACTGCGCATGCGCACTGCCACAGAGCGGCCCTCAACATCTCCTTCCAGGAGCTGGGCTGGGATCGGTGGATCGTACACCCTCCCAGTTTCATCTTCTACTATTGCCACGGTGGCTGCGGGCTGCCCACCCAGCCAGACCTGTCTCTGCCGGTCCCTGGACCTCCCCCGACCCCTGTTCAGCCTCCTTCTCTGGTGCCAGGGGCCCAGCCCTGCTGTGCCGCTCTCCCTGGGACCATGAGGTCCCTGCATGTCCGCACCACCTCTGATGGGGGCTACTCGTTCAAGTATGAAACAGTGCCCAACCTGCTCACGCAGCACTGCGTCTGTGTCTGAGGGTGTCCTGCTGGCGGCGGAGCCCCCGCCGTCACCTGGTGGGGGGAATGGCAGAATTTGGGAAAATAGGTGTTTTCCATTTCCCTCCTCCCTCCACTTCTCTGCCTGAGGGCTCCCCTCCCCCTCCTCCCCTGCCCCGTGGTAACGTGGCAATAAACAACCCGGTGCATATGACTTGGCATTGCATTCTCGGGCTTCTATGATGCGGTCGGGGTGCGGAGGGGAGATCTGAGCCCTGGCAGAATGGGGTTGTGAGATCTCAGGTCACTTAGCCTCACCTGACCTTGGAGGTCTGGGGTTCTGGAGCTGGATTTGGATGCATGTCTGGCGAGAAGCTACCACATCTGGGGGTGACAAAAAGGTGGCTGAAGCTCCTGACAGCCACTCTGGAGGCAGAACTGGCCCTCGTGTCAGCTGGACCTGATACATTGGTCAGGTTGTCTGCGCCGCCACACCTAGAAGCAGCCGAGGCTTGCAGAGCACCTGCATCTGAGAGAGCCAGAGGCCCTTCCCCTGCCATTCTCTGCCCGAGCGAATGGGCACCTAGCTGGAGGTCAGGTGATTGAAAGACCGGTCAGAGATTGTGCCTTGGGGCCCCACTAAGGCAGAGGTTCAGAGCTGGTAAGATCTTGGATTTCTCAGGAGTTTGGGTGGGATGTAAAGCAGTGTCCAAAAGTTGACCAGGATGGAGAGGAGGTGGAAGAACGAAGACCTGATGATTTTAATTTGCTGAGGGCCCTGGAACTCCCTCGAATCTGTCACTGGCTCATGACGTAGCCCTTCGTGAACCTAGTTGTGCTGGGACCCAGGTTCTTAAAACATTCAGCCCCCTGATGCACCCTGTGTACCTTTCCGTTACCCCACTCAGTCCTTAATGTTGGATGCAAGGAAAGCCAGATCCTATGCTGGAAAAACGTGTGCTCTTATGTGAGCCTTTGTACACACTTTGTGTACATGCTGAGTCCAGAGCACGGTGCAAAGAGCCCCTTTCTTTTCCCATTGGGTTCATTCTGCCTGCGGTAATCAGCCATTGGGAACCCCCGCCACCCTTTCCTCCCTGCTTTGTTCACTCTCCTCCTCCGGGTCTTGCTATACTCCTGCCCCACCCCGGCTCTGGCTCTCAACCAGCTGGTTCCACCCCGTCTCCCTTTAACGCAGCTGTGGGTGGAGGGGAGGGTTGGGGATGCTCAGGTCCCTGGGACTGAAATTCCAGAGCACTGTCTAATATTGCACAACTGCGGAGTGTGTTTCTGCTCACAGACTGACTCATCAGAGACTCCCTCCTCCTAACCCAGCTGGATGGGGTGAGCTGGGGAGCATGCCCAGGAAGGGGATGTGGAGGGGAGAGAACCCCACCCGGCACCCTTGGGCTAACACCTCCCCTACCTGAGCTGAGCTGAATGAAACATGGTTTCTCCAAGCACAGGAGCCCACCAGAACAGCCCTTGGCAGTGGTCCCGCCGTAGCCTCAGTAGACACTGAATCCAAGAGAAGGCTGCTGCTGCTCTGGAGAGGAGATCTGCCTGTGGTAGCTCTGAGTCTCTCCCAGCACCTTCACCTACACCCAGCGTAGCAGCAAGGCCGTGCTCAGGGTTGTGGGGATTGCTACTCGGGCAGTGGACCGTGGAGACGACCAGATGGGCTCCGCGGGGCCGTGCAGGGCGGGGGATGGGAGATTGGCTTCATGCCAGCCTGAACATCACTCTCTCCCCCGGACTCTCCTCGCCAGATCCTCCCTGCCTGCGTGGGGCCTTTCCCTGGGATCTTCAATCCTCCTAGCGGGCTCAGGATTCTCCTTTTTCCCACGAGGACCACCTACAACCCTGCGTTGTGCAGACTTTCCCTGTCCCCGGAACGTGAATGGGATCTGAGGGCTGAGGACATTACTCAGGGGCGCAGCGTTCTGCACCAGGTCGCTTAGCAGGGTGGTGTTGCTGGAGAAAAGTTTTCATGTGTCAGAGACAAAGGGAGGAAAGTGAGTACAATGTAGTATTTTTCAACCAAACCAGAGGTATTCATTTTCAAGGGCTATCTCTTCTTCTCAAGTTACCATTTCTCTGTGTGTGTGGAGAACTGTTGTTTCTTTTATGGTATTGAGGTGATGGGAGAAGGTAGTGGTTTTTTGTCTGTCTGTTTGTTTGTTTGTTTGTTTTAAGGTTTTTATAAATGACAAAATTAAAACTTGGAAGTTCTTATTTGGACCCTAAGATTTTTCTTTGTAATTTTGCTGATGGAATTTCCATATCTGTGAAATCCGTGAAATCCTAAAGTCTGGAAGTCACTGGTCTGGGCCATCCCTTCCAGGGTCTTGAGGCCTTAGATTCTGCTAACTGAGCAGACCGGGGAGGTGCAGCTGCCCCTCCCTAAGAGAGGCAGACGTGACTAAAGCCGTCTTTCGTCTTCAGTGCTGGCCAGGAGACTAAGAGCTGCACACTTCAGTGATCCTCCCTGATCCCAGGGCTAATCCTCAGGAACCCTGTGCATACTTTTCACTCAGAGTTAGTCTGAATAGCAAACCCAACTCAAACAAGCTTAGATTAAAAAAAAAAATCACTGGTGGGGGTGAGGGACAGGACTGGGAAGAGCATCGGGGGGAAACTGGGACCATTGTAATAAAACAACAATAAAAAAATCTAAAAAAGCCCTGGCTGGTGTAGCTCAGTGGATCAAGCACCGGCCTGGGAACCAAAGGGTCCCTGGTTCCATTTCCAGTCAGGGCACAGGCCTGGGTTGTGGACCAGGTCTCCAGTTTGGGGGCACGTGAGGGGCAATCACACATTGATGTTTTTCTTCCTCTCTTTCTCCTTCCCTTCCCCTCTTTCTAAAAAAGTAAACAAATAAAATCTTTTTTTAAAAATTAAAAAAAAAAAACCACGGGCTTATATCAAGTCCAGGAGCACAGCTGGCTGAGGCAAGGCTGATGCTGGGATGCAAAGATACTGCAGGGATCCAGCTACAGGGTCAACATCCCCTCCTGGGTCAGCTCCATCTGTGCCTGGCCTGAGCTGCCTTCGTCACACTGCTTGGCCCAGCACGAGGGAGTTTGCGTGCAGAAGACCCAGAACGAATCTTGATGGCCTGACTGTCCTGATTAAGGTCACGGGCTTCTCCAGGAAGGGTGCCCGAGGGAACAGAATGAGTTAGTAACTTACATTATGTGTCCCAGCCCTGCAGCCCAGAGCCTAAAGCACAAGGGCTAGAGGTGAAAAAAGGTGACATCCCCAAAGCAGGGTACAGTTACCCCACAAAGACGGGCAGAGGCTAGAGAAAAGCACTGTTGTTTCCTCCTCCTAATTGTCTCTCACATTAAACCCTTTCTCTCTCCCTACATAGACACTATTTTGACCTTTAGGCAGCAATTCATTTTTTTTTTAATTTCATGTATTTATTTTTAGAGAGAGGGGCAGGAGGGAGAAAGACAGGGAGAGAGAAACATCGATCAATTGTCTTACCAGAACCAAACCCACACCCCAGGCATGTGCCCTCATCAGGAATCGAACCAGTGACCTTTCACGTTGCAGGACGATGCCCAACCAACTGGGCCACACCAGTCAGGGCTAGGGAGCAATTCCTGGTTGGGCAATTCAGCAGCCTCCTTCACCAGTCTCTAAGCAGTCATTCCCTCTCCTTCCAGGGCATGCTCACCTGGCCACCGTGAAGCAGTCACAAAAGCTCCAGAGGGGGTCTCTTTTGAAATCTTCTCCCAGCAGTAATGCCACTTTAAAGACTTTCTGTTATTATATGCCACTGAATTTTGGAAGCACGCATGCAAGGACAGTCACCCTTCTCTCAACAGACTCTCGGAATTAAGTATTCATGGGGTTACTGCGAGGTCTCAATTATCCATCATCTAAATGGGAACTGTTGCTTGGGGTGGTGAACACGCAAAACTCTCCAGATGATGCGTTGTGGGATTGAGCACCTGAAACCTGTATAATTTTGTTAACCAGTGTCATCCCAATAAAGTCCAGAAAAAGGAAAAAACAAATGGAAATCGTTGCTCTACAGCTTAAGCAAAATCTGAATGAACATCTTGCAGGTGATTTCTCCGTAGATGTATTCAAACTGAGTATGAAAGGAATGGCCCGATCTGTATTGTTACCTGCAAATGACTCAGATTTGTCATCACTTGAACGTCTTGAGGCTTTGTTCACAGGGACTGTCCCATATTCCTTTGCCTCTTTGAAGTGTTTATTCACAATTTTCCCCATAGAAAGTCAAATTATATGTGGTCCACTGTATTCATGTTCCCTTGAATAGCACCTTACAGTGGAGGGGCGCGGTGGTCAGTCCCTCAACCGAGGGGGCATATCCCCCGTAGTGGGAAACCTTTGAGGTGGCTGGTGTTCACGAAGTTTTAAAGACTGTGACTTCAGGTCTACCGGATGTGGAAGATTTTCATTTCACTTCGTCTTCCTATAATTCTGCCAAGGCCAATTTATTTCTTGTCATGCCACCACTGTGGTTGTTTTGAGGTTTCTTTGCGAGGTCTTCACTTTCTTATTAAATTCTGCAAATCCAGTGCTTTGGGGGGCCACAGCCCTGACGGCCTCTCCTGCTCCGTGGGGTGGTGCCGCCCTTGCCACCTTCTGCCAGCTCCCTGGGCTTATCCCTTGAGTGTTTCTTCTTTCCTCCTTTTTTGGAGGGTGGGCGGGGGGACATTCTGTTCCACCCTGTAGTTTGAACACATTTACTATCTTTGCTTACCATCATTTTTGTCTCTCACATCTTCCTCTTAGATTCATTTTTCTTAGTGTTGGCCTATCCTCTTTTATTATTGATCTCAGAGTAAGTCTGTAGGTGATAGACTTTCCGAACCCCTCTTCCAGCTGAAAGTTTTGAATGATAGTTGGGCTGTTTATGTGGTTCTAGATTCAAAGATGTTTTTCTTCCGAGTTTTGAGAGTCTCCTCCTTTTCTTCTTGCATCCTGTTTTTCAGTGAGAGACTTAATGGCAACATGATTCTCATACCTTTGTAGTTCATCTGTTTTGTTTTTCCCTCATTGGAAGTTTTCAAGATTTCTTCCTTACCACGACGTTTGAAATTCCATTACAGTAGATCTACACGTTAGTTTTGAAACTAACCTTTGATGTCAAAGAGATCCTTGGCATTTGGTGGACACTTTTGAACTGAATATACATAGTTTTCTTCAATTCT